GCAGTGGTGCTGCATTTTCCAGTTTGGAGGGGTTTTTCTCTATCAGTAACAATCCAATTTCCTATCCCCATTCCTGAGATCTGAATTTAAATTCAAAGCAAAAAAAAAAAAAAAATTATGTAAATTAATGAGCAGTTAATCTAAAAGTTTTAAGAACCTGTATCCAGAGGAAACAGCTTCAATTTTGTACATCTTCTTTGAAAAATAATCAAAAGTTATTATCAAATATCGATGCTGTCTTAAGTGTGCATTCCTCTTTACAAATACTAGAGTATGACTATGGGTATCAGTTTATTTGCTTCACATGACCCTATGAGGAATGACATCTTAATAAACACCCAATTCTTGTAAGCAAAAAGGAATTCTTTATCACTCCTTTCTATGTATATTGCTTGAAATCTTGTTTTATTAGCCACTATGAAAGGAAATTGAATATGCAGAACAAAAGAATTCAGGGTTAAGGGATACAGCAGATATATGCACAATGTGGTAAGGAGCACCAGGAAGGACTGAGCTGGGTCTTTGTCAGATAAAAAGTAAAGGCTGTGCTTGTCATGAGATGAGAACTGTATTATGGACTTCCCAAATTTGGAGATGGTTGGAACTTTGATCTGAGAAAAATGGGAGTACCCACAGGGTAATATGAATTAATGAACATGGGATTTTTAAAGCGTGTCATAAATTCAAAACTTCCTAAAATTGTAATGATACTCAGTAAGTTTCACCAGAGAAAGAGTCTAGAAAAAAGTAAGTTTATTACAGAGGAAGCATCTAATTTTTTGAGGCCATTATCTAAAGTGTTGAATATACTGAATTTGTTTTGATACTATAATACAAAAAAAGTTTATAATGCTTTGTCTAAGGAATTAAAATGGAAGTGGCAAGTTGTAAACACACATTCAAAGTCCATATGTTTGAGTGTGCTTTTAGATGCTCAAATTAGTTCAAAGTGACAATATCAAAGGCCCAAAATGAAAAGATACCAGATACCATTTAAATCCCCAATGTTGAACATTTCACCGCCTGGACACTATTAGTCTAAAATAGTTAAAATTTTAATCTTAAAGCAAAAAGCAAGAAATGGCACTTTAGAACTTAATTAGATTTGTAGTTTAATTCTCCAGATCTTTTGTCTTCGTTTTCTCAATAGAAGAAAACTGATTCTATACATTAAAAGGAAAAATGATAGGTAGGAAAAGATTATTCTTTGTTCAGTATTTGACTAAGAATGTTTACTAAATGTTCCTGGAAAATAAAATTTAAGATATTGGAAGATCCCTCCAGAACCTGACTGCCTGAGTTCCTTCAGAAAATCATTGCAGATTGTTATAATACTAAAAGATTGGTTCAGGAAATTTTGATTAATGGAACACTCTTCAACTGTCTTTGTTTTTATTTCAGGGGATGGCATACAAAGTAATATTTGGAATGTTTTTTTTTTTATTTGAAAGATTGGTTTTATTTTTAGGAATGTTTTAAAACTAATTTCTTGAATGTAGCCTAATTTATTGAGTAGAGTAATAATTATTGCTAATTCTCAGCATTCTGAAACACAAAATTCTCCTAAATTATTTAACAAGACAGACAGCCTTGTTCAGAAAGATTTTTCAAAAAGAGGTTGAATAAAAATTTCTTTTCAAAAAATAAACAGAGGAGTGACTCAGAAAGTATACTTGGGATTTTTTTTTCATATCCATTTAATGTTAGTTACATAAGGAGAGTACTTTCAGAATAGCACTTGGCGTATGAACATCAGAAAACCTACATGATTGGTCAGTATGCTTTAAATCCAGAGGATAAAAAGCTAGAAGAAATTGAAAAATACTCCTGCCGTCCAAAAATTAACAGAGTCTACGCAATTTAGTACTGCAAGAGTATTAACATGTCAGAACATAAGGAGTCTGTAAAGCCAATTATAGGAGAAATGACCAGACTTAGAAAAAACAATGGACTCAAACTGTTTCTGACCAACAGTTTCATAGTTTTGAGGAGAAAAATGTAGAGTCTATGAATTCTATAGTCACCTAATTGTCAGTCATGTATTAAATCAGCTGGGAGAAAATATTGAATCATAAAGGCTCAGTCTATATACTTTTGCATTCATAAAAGCAGAAAGATATACTCAGAAGAAATCAAATCAACCCCTATGTCAACCTGGTATTCATTATATGGATGGAGAAGTTAAGTCACAAAAACACAAACATCTATCTATCTATTCATATATATAATTTTTTCTCAGAAAAGAATTAACTTCATGGAAAGTTACCCATTTTTATTACCTTCAATAAATAAATTTTAAAAATCAACAGTCATGAAAAGTATTTGAAAAATTTTTTAAAATCCATCGATAAAAAATTGGTATTATTATAGGAATTCCTCACATCAGGCAGAGTTGTGCCTCAGCCAATCTACTGCTTTGAAATTTTGTAATAATGTATTAGGGTTTTGAGGCTGAGGACTCTAAAGATATCATGTATAAATGAAACACATAATTATGGGCAAAACAAATAATATACATATATATTAACAACTATATATAAAAAATATCTATATATAACTACACACATAATAGTTTATAATGCACACACACATACATACATATATAAAACAAGAGAGTGTACTGGTCTAAACACGGTGAATGCTTATGGGTAGACATTTGGTCTGACGGCCTTCTAGCAGCCTGGTGGCATAGAACACAAGGTTGGAAGAAAGTAAATGATTGATTATATGTCAAAATTACTCCTCAAATATATTTCATGTTTCAAAGTCAGACTCTAAGTTTGACAGTAAAAATAATATCATAATCCGAACAGAAAAACTACCTATGTTCTAAGAATGAAGCAAAGCTAGGAATTATCAATAAAAAATTATGCGTGTGGGTTATGCAAGAACTGGACTCTAATCAGTGGCAGTCCTTGTGTTTGTAAAATCAAAGGTGCACTTCAATTTTCTCTCTTGAATAAGTTTGTATTGTATCTCATTTTAATTTAAATCTATGAATCTAAATGGCCACATAAGCTACCACATACAAGGAGCATTACTTCATCACAGTATGCTTTGTTGAAATTGTGTTTAAAATCATCTCAGTTTGTAGTACTTGCCAATTTCCAGCATGTAAGTACAAAGAAGGGTAATTTTATCTTGAAATCTTTCTCATATCTCTTTCAAATTATATCATGCACAGTCATTGCTGTATATTCCATTTTAAAATAAAATAGCATATTTATTTCTTCTGGAGTATGCTATATGAGAGCAATCATAACACTACCATTCTTAAACATGAGTCTCAGTTCCTGTATCTTAACTAGCAACACCAAAAGAGTGGCATTGGGTATGACAGGATGACAGTCAGAGACAATTCATACAGACCAAGTGATTTGCTCATAATTATTTTATCTTTATTCATACCCAGTGGTCAACAAACTGCGGCTCGCAAGCCACATGCGGCTCTTTGGCCCCTTGAGTGTGGCTCTTCCACAAAATACCGACTTTTGCACATGGGCCACGAAGTTTCAATCGCACTGTACGTGCGCGCCCACACGTGGTATTTTGTGGAAAAGCCACACTCCAGGGGCCAAAGAGCCACATGTGGCTCGCGAGCCACGGTTTGCCAACCACTAGTCTAGTCCATTTAACTATCTGGCTAACACTTCTAACTTTCTTCGTTTTATGAATACTATTAGAATAGCTACATATTTGGTGATATCCTGCTATACTGGCATTCTAACAACCAACTAACCAACCACCCAACAAAAAAGCAAACAAACAAAATGATCTGATGTATAGCATCTGCCTATTCCCGTGCTATAGATACTCTCACTAGGGCCAATTCAAGCTATCAATGTCATGACACTGAATGTGAAGTTGGGAAGAGATGTGCAGACTCTTTCCAGCAGAACACCTCAAGTTTGTGTTTATTCTAATAGTCTACCAAAATATCCAGAAACATTTTGGTGGGTTCCAATACATTCCACTAAAGACATTACAGTAACTAATTTTAACATAATTAAAAATTTAAACAATAACAGGCAACATTTTATTAAACTCTAAAATGACAAAAAAACACTTTCTCAAATAAGTATTTAATTTAGAGCAAAAATAAAAGAATAGGTTGAGGCTACATTATGATAAAAAATGTTCATTATAAACAATATCACTGAAAACTTCCAAACTATTATCTGTGCTATGGTTTGGAAAATGCAAATGACTGCATTATCTAATTAACAAGTGGAAATTATCATTATGCATTTTGAAAATCAAGCTGTAATATTTTAGTGAAAGAAACTGATCAAATATAAATTTTATGGGTCATTAGGTACATCTGTAAAGTTCATTATTTTAAAATGATAATGATTATGACATAACAAGGTGAATGTTACCTAAAGTAGATAGTACCTAGCACAGGAGTTGGCAAATTTTTTACATAAAGGATCAAAGAATATATGATTTAGGCTTTGTAGACCTACTATCTCTGTTGTGAATACAGATCTGCTATTGTAGTGGGAAAACACCCGTGATCAATAAGTAAATTAATGATTTTGGCTGAGCTCCAATAAAACAATGTTTACAGAAACAGGCAAAAGATGGATTTTGCACTTGGGTCATCCACAATTTGCTGACATGACTTTAACGTGTACTGAATCATCTTATGTTTTTATGGCCCTGATTTCAATATTATTTTTCTTGTAATTTATGAAACATTAATCTCTACAACCACAGAACCTTTTATTTATACTATAGTGCCAGTCAGTAAAAAAATCTTGACTAATTACTGTTTCTTAAGCAACATATTCCCATAGCAAACCACTTGCCAAAAGGACAATGCAATTGAACATAAAATGAATATAGTTATGGACATATCTTCTATATTACTACATAAGACTTTTACAATTAACTGTAAGAAAAAGCTTTCCTAGACAGTAAAAAAATAGAAAATTTACATATTAAATTGCTTCATTTTTAATGAGTTCATATGTTTTATTTGACATCCTTATTCTTACCTTCCATAAGTCTCCCTGTCTGTTCTGCACTTCCCCCAGGAAGAATCTTGGCAATATAGGCTCCAATTTCTCCGCTGTGTCCAGGGATTTCTTTACCACCCACAATCTTAATTCCTAATCCATTACCTGTATTGAAGAAGCAAAAAAACTATTATTAATAATTTAAGAAGGGACAACAATTATCACAAATTATAAGGTGCGAAGTGGGCTTTGCTGCCCAGAAGTTAACTAGAACATGGGTACTGGAACTGAACACCAATGACAAAAGAACATTTTTCTGATTTCTACAGTAGTTTATATAAAATAGAACTTTCTGAGATCTTAGTAGGAGCTGTAATAATTAATCTGATATTAACAAATACTTTTTAAGTTCAGCTATCTTCAGTAACACACTAAGACTTTGTCCCTATTAACCAGCTATTTTGTTAAAAATTTATATGAATATGTTCCCAGTGTAAGAAACTCCAGAGCATACAATTTACTTACAAAACTAAGGAGCATTTTGCTTACAAAAAGATAGTAAAGACTATCATAAATTGAGATGACATAATCCAAATGTACAGATGATTATAATTGACAAAGTGCAAACATGATCATAACATATGCATTATTATTTACTTGGCTCTGGTGACTAGGGACATTGCACCACTGGCCTCCACAGGACACCTACTACATAAGGCAACTCTACTGAGACTGGGAGACATAGCAGATCTACCTAGAAACAAACACAAACATAGAAACATACACAGGGAGTCAGCCAAAATGAGGAGACAAAGAAACTTGTCTAACATGAAGAAAAGAACAACACTCCAGAAAAAAAACTAAGCAAAATGAAGACCAGCAAACCACCAGAAGCAGAGTCCAAAACACTGGTTCTAATGATGCTCAATGAATTTAGGGAAAGAGTAGAATAATTCAGTAAAAAGTTTAACAATGTAACATAAAACATAAAAATGGTGGTAAAAAACATAAAAAGAAGCCAGTCATAAATAAAGAATACAATTATTAAAATCAATATCACATTAGAAGTAATCAATAGTAAATTAGATGAAACAGAAGATCAAATCAGTGATTTGGAAGACAAGGCAGTAGAAAACACCAATCAGAACAGCAAAAAGAAAACAAAATTAAATTAGGATAGTTTAAGAGACCTCTGGGACAATTTAAACTACAACAAAATTGGCATCATAGGAGCAACAGAAGGAGAAAAAAGACGGTAAGGAATTGCAAATCTATTTGAAGAAATAATGACTGAAACTCCTCTAACCTGGAGAAAGAAATAAACATAAATCCCAAAGCTCTACATTAAGACACATCATAATTAAAATGCCAAAGGTTACAGATAAAGAGATAATCTTTTCTTAATTAAATTTATTAGAGTGACTTTGGTTAATAAAATTACATAGGTTTCAAGTATACAATTCTATAATACATCATCTGTATATTGCATTATGTGCCCATCACTCAAAGCCAAATCTTCCATTATTGTATATTTGATCACCTTTACTACTCCCCAACCCCCTTCCCTCTGGTAACCACCATACTGTTATCTGTGTCTATGAGTTTTTGTTTGTTTGCTTTTCTTGTTAGTTCATTTGTTGCTTTCAGTTATATATCCCACATATTACTGAAATCCTATGGTTGTTTACTTCTTCTGTTTGACTTATTTCGCTTAGTACAATATTTTCAAAAACCATTTATGTTGTCATAAATGGCAGTGTTTCATCTTTTATTATGGCTGAATAGTATTCCATTATCTATATATATAAAAGGCTAATATGTGAAGTGTCCCCTTGGGAGTTCAACCGGGATACCAGGAGTTTGATTGCTTGCTATGACATGCGCTGACCACGAGGGGGCAGCATGGAATGAAGGGAGGCCCTTGCTGGCAGCTGGAAGGCCACTATCGGCCCTGATTGCTGGCCAGGCCTAGGGACCCTACCCATGGTCGAATTTCATGCACCAGGCCTCTAGTGTGTGTGTGTATGTGTGTGTGTGTGTGTGTGTGTGTGTGTATACACACACACACTAATAAAAGACAAACCTGCAAATTGACCATACCTTTGCTATGACTTAAGCCAAGCCCACCAGCCAATCAGAGCAACTATATGCAAATTAACCAAACAAAGATGGCACCTGCCGCCATGGAGCTGGAGCAAGCAGGAGGCTTGGTTGCCCCAATGATGGAGGAAGCCAAGCTTCCCGCCTGCCGCGGCCTGGCTCTGAGCTCCACTCAAAGCAACGAAGTTTCAATTATAGAAGATAAATAAACCCCAGATACCTGCTTTCAGCTGGCCGTGGCCACGAAGCTGGAGCAAGTAGGAGGCTGGGTTGGCCCTGGCGATGGAGGAAGCCAAGCTTCCCACCCACCTGCCCTGGCCGGCTCTGAGCTCCTCTCAAGGCTACAAAGTTTCAATTATAGAAGGTAAATGAATCCCAGAATAAAAAGAAAAAAGAAAAAAAGGAGAGGCTGGGAGCTTCGGTCGCTGGGAGGGCTTGGCCAGCCTGAAAATGGCCCTCAGCCCCCACCCAGACTGGCCAGGCACCCCAGTGGGGACCCCCCACTCTAAAGGGGGTGTGGCCAGCCTGAAAACAGCCATCAGCCCCTCACCCAGGCTGGCCAAACCTCCATGGGGTAAGGGTCCCCACGGGGGTGGGGGGAGCTTGACCAGCCTGCAAACAGCCATCAGCCCCTCACCCAGGCTGGCCAGGCACCCCAGCAGGAGCCCCCTCCCTGAAGGGGCTGTGGCCAGCCTGCAAACAGCCATCAGCCCCTCATCCAGGTTGGCCAGGCACCCCAGTGGGACCCCCACCCTGATATGGAACACCCTTCAGGGCAAACCAGCCGGCCTCCTCCCGTGCACCAGGCCTCTATCCTATATAATAAAAGGGTAATATGCAAACTGACCCTAACAGCAGAGCGACTGGGAATGACTGGTCACTATGACACACACTGACCACCAGGGGGCAGACGCTCAATGCAGGCAGGAGCTGCCCCCTGGTGGTCAGTGCGCTCCCACAGGGGGAGCTCTGCTCAGCCACAAGCCAGGCTGATGGCTGCCAGTACAGCGGTGGTGGTGGGAGGCTCTCCCGCCTCCTCAGCAGCGCTAAGAACGTCTGACTGCAGCTTAGGCCTGCTCCCCGCTGGCAAGTGGACATCCCTCAGCGCTCCCGGGCTGCCAGAGAAATGTTTGATTGCCAGCTTAGGCCCAATCCCCCCTGGTGAGCAGGCCTAAGCCAGCAGGTGGTCACCCCCTGAGGGGTCCCAGACTGCAAGAGCGCACAGGCCAAGCTGAGGGACAAATTTTTGTGCACCGGGCCTCTAATATATATATATATATATATATATATATATATATATATATATCTTTTTTTTTTTTCATTGTGGCATTGTATATAATAGTCAAAAGAAGAAGACAAAATAATGTCCAACAATTGAGGAATGGCTGAAGTAAATATCTATATAATAAAAACTGCCATCAAACATAAGTATGCAAAGAATATTTGATGTGACAGGAAAATGACTTTACCAGGCAACTTGTACTATATTAAAAATATGTATATAAACTCCTTTACAATATACTCTCAACTTTCAGTGTGTGTATGCATGGTATAAAGAAAACAGGAAGGAAAAGAAGAAAATATAAATTATAAAATTATGATGGCTTTTATTTTAACCTTTATACTTTTCACCACTGTTATATTCTACAAAGTTTCTGGTCATTTATCTATCTATCTATCTATCCATCCATCCATTCATCCATCCATCTAGCAACACAAATACACACACACATTTTATATATATACACAAAGAGGGGTGAAAATAATACATGCATTTAGCTACTGGCAGCTGAGAGCTTTTGAGACCTCTAAGAGAAAACAGAAATGAAAATCTTCATGAAAAAATGGAAAAAGATGTTTTATCTACACCACAGATAAAATTCTTTGAGCAAATGAAGAGATACAGTACAAAAACTATACATGTACATGCATGCACTTACTCATATTTTGTTGCACATATTTTAATTTTCAATATACAGTTTCTAATATTCATTTTTGTGTATCAGTTCCATTTCAAATATCTTGCAAATTCTTGGAAGCAGAACTCTTGCATAGGATTTTCCTGTATCTGCCTCATATCTAGTTTAAGGTTGACTCTGTATTTGATATCAAATATCTACCTGTTTTTCATTGAAGGAAGATAGTTATTTATTGTAAATTTCCTTTACGTGATCTCTTATTCTTTGAAAAATGTTAAAGAAGATTTAACAGAGAGGGGTGGCTAAATTGTGTTTTCAGTATTTTTATTGAGGTGGAACATGAAGGTTTATTTATTTTTTCCTAATATTGGAAAATATATATAAAACTATTGCTACCATTCTATCTCAATTCTGATTACTGACATATCTCTCTAAATCACTTACAGAAATGGAAAGCAAATCTCACCTGTGTTTGGGAGAGGAGTGTTGGACGTTGATACTGCTAGCAGGCTTCAGGGAACTTTGTAATGACTGAAACATTCTAAACCTTGTTTTAGATTGTGGTGAAGGTAGCACAACTTCATAAATTCACTAAAAGTCATTGATTTGTGTAGTTACAATGTGTACATTTATGATATGTACATTATACCTTATTAAAGATGGAAAAATAATAATATAAAGAGCTACCCACATTTGGTATTGCTATTGACTCAGATCCAATGAGATCCGTTACATTTGTCTCTTGTTCCTGAAAGCCCACTAAGATGGTGAACTAATGAGAAATAGAACATGAGCCACTATTTCCATAGAAGACATTGCTACTTTTTATGTTCTTCAGTATTACACTTGCTAATCATGCTTTCTAGCCTTGCAGATGTAGCCAGTCCATTATGGAACCATTTAAGCAATATCTTTTTTAAAGCCAGAGAATATGTTTGGCTTGTTTCAAACAGCTGTGTTTCTAGAGCCATAAGATAGAGTACTAAGTAAAAGAGACTCATTTTTTAAGTTTTACATTTTATTCTTATTTTTCCCTGATAATTTCTAAGAGAAGGGGAAATAACATTTGTTGGGAGTGTAGTAAGTACAAGATTTTGCGCTAGGTTCAGTTGCAGTTATGTGAGATTCATAGAACTGGTCTTACTGTTCTTATAGAGCAAAGTTATTACAAAATTTACATAAGTGATAGAGCTGAACCTCAACTCGGGTCTTTCTGATTCTAAAATTCATTACCTATTCTCCATTTTGCTGCCTTGTGCTTGGTTGAGATCACTCGACCTATGGACACCTGAAAAATATATTTACCCTGTGATAATCAATACAAGGTAACCAATACAGGGTAATATAATGGAAAATATTTGAATTATTTTAGGGAAATATCAGAAGAAAATGGGACATTCAGAGAGATGACATAGTATACTATTAATAAACCTAATATTCAAAACAATAATCTTCATTTCTCATTCTGCAAAATCTATGTACTGATAAAATTGAATTTAGTTTTCAGACTACAATACTTATGAGAAATCAATAGCTCTTATTTCTGTTATTCTTATATTTTAAAACAATTTTCCTAATTGTAGCAGAAGCAAACAAATTAAAATAATGAGTGGCAAAATATAACCAGTTGATGAAGTGATTCATATAGTATACAAATAATAACAGAGCTAAAAATAGATACATTGTAATAGAGTCCTAATGATTTAGTAAAAAATGGTTTGAATATTTCTGTTTTAAAAAATAAGGTTTGGCATTGCTGGAAAGTATTATGCTGTTTTGCCTTGTGAGCTGGAGGGAACTGAAGTAGTTTGTAGCAAGTAATTATTTCTACAAAAACAGTTAAGATTCACCCCTGGAATTTTCATTAGTAGTTAAAATACAATCTGCACACAATAAAACTATAAAGGTTGAATTATCTGTCTCTGGTGGAAGACAAATTACCCAATCTTAAAAGGGAAAGAACATTAGCCTCCTAATCGATTCATTCTCTATGAAAATAAAGACAGAAAAATTGCTCAAAGCAAAACCTGTTCTATACACACATGCTTCCTGGTCTAAAATCTGCCAGGAACAATAGCAAGTACATTGAAAAAATACCTCTTTTTGTTCTTTGTTATCTCAGTCCTACAAAAAACAACAACCCTCCAGCACATCAACCATGTTGATATGTCACCTATACATATATCCATAATATATACACATATAAGAACATATATCTTTACAAATATTTTCTCTTGATGTACAGTGTTAATGAAACAGAAAAAATATATTCGAGTGAGAATATAGTAGTTAGTACTTATATTTTAAAAATTATTAAATTTGACAAAATTTATATTTTGACTCAGATTTAAAAATTTAAAATTTGTAATATAAAAATTCTATTTTCTTTCAAAAGCATCAAAGTCAGTAAGCCAATGGAAGACTGAGAAACTATCAGATTGGAGGAGATGAAAGTGGTGTGGTAACTAAATGCCATGTGAGATTTGAACTCAATCCTGGAACAGAAAAAGGAAAACTTAGTGATTGAGTGGAGAAACTCAAAATTTAGGTAAGACCTGTAGGTGTTTTAATAGTATCATACCAATGTTAACTCTTGCTTTCGATCGTTTTATTGTGGTTAGATGTGAATCTTAGGAAAGCTGGGTAAAGGGTGGGAAAAAGAACTAAGTATACTATTTTCTCAGAGTCCAAAATTATCTCAAAATAAATCATTTACAAAAATTACATCATGAGCTTTGGTTTACAGAAGAACACAGTTAAACAAAAACTTGGCATAACTGATAATGTTCAAGGTATAGGGAAATTTATTCCTTAGAAGACTCCAAGATAGCTTTTTACTTCCTGTGTAAGAATGTTTTATAGTCCCAAAATCAGTGACCATATTACACAATAGAGCAAGAATTATGGAGTATTACAATGTCATGTACATTTTTAAAAATGCAGCTAATGAAAATAATGATCTAAATATGTACCATTTAGTAATTTGTCATATTAATGAGCATGCCATTATTGTTTTTTATGTTCATATGGATAGCATGATTATTTTTTGAAATTTTCCAAAACAAGTTTTTGACAAAAAAGTGTTTTCTAAAATTTACTCAGTTATCCAAAACTGAAAACCAAATACATTTATCAATTTGACATTAAAATGAAGAGGACTAGATGGTTTGCTTTTCTTTACCTGAAACTGTGTGATCCTTAGAGTCCCTTGTTATTTTTATCCTTGCATGAGGAAAGATGTACTGCACCGTCTTCCCATTCATCTGTATAATCTAAGACATACACGTGATAAGGTGAAAAATCAACGTGAAGACACTTAATGTTTTTAAAAAGCATATTGAGTCAGTCAATAAAAACATAATGCAAGTTTCTGGAATGATCACCATTGAAGCATCTTACACTATAAAATAATATTATTGGTTTCAGTGTTCATTATGGCCTCAGAAACTGACAAACAAAATAGGTCCAGAGACATGGATGCATGGAACAGATTGACAGATCTCAGAGGGAAGGGAAAGAGGGGAAAAGAAATTAACCAAAGAACATATATGCATCTATGCATTGCCTATGAACACAGACAACAGTGAGATAGTGAGATGAAGGCCTGGGGTGAGGCAGGGGCCAGGTGGAAGGGGGCAAAGGAGGGAAAAAAGGGGACATCTGTAATACTTCAGAAAAAGAAGTGTGTGGGAATACTAAACAGAAATGTTAAACAGAATTCTGAACCAAAGAGATGTACATTTGGCGTAGAAAGATTCATTGGAATACTCATGCGGTTTTAATCTGTCAATCCAGCTGTAAAACTGTTAGAATTCTAGGTATTAAAAGTAAAATACAAATTGAAAAAATACAAGCTTAAATAAAGCCTTTAGTTTTAATTCTCCTCAGGAAAGAATAAGCTTAATCAAATCAGTGATGAATATAGAAACTTCCCAAACAACAGCAGAACCCTGTTAAGTCCAGGAATATTACATGAATCCTACAAACTAAAATACTGTTTGCAAGATTATAAAAATATATGGTCAATACAATCAGTCAATCTTGATAATTTATACTAATACTAACTTTGCAAGCCACTAAAAACCTCATGTATATTCATAACAATTGTACATTTTCCTTCTTTCATCCTCTTGCTTCCTGTTTTCTCTTTAACTCTCTCCCTTTCTCTTACTTTCTCTCCTCTGCCCCACTTACTTTCCATCACATCATTTTCTCCTTCTATTTCCTGTCTTTCTCTTCTCCTCTCCTCCTTCCATCCCCTAATCTGCATTTAAAGATCTTTTTTTACTAAATTTAAACCATGTGCATTGGAAATTCTACAGCTATTAAATATAACAACTTTTTTAGTGTTGTAGATAATTTATTCAAATTGGTAGATATTACTTTATTTCAAATATCTTCTAAATTTATGTATTATATTTTAAAAAGCAATTTTCCCATTTGGCTAAAAAGAAACTAAGAAAACACAGTTTTGCATATTGCTGTTCTTTGCATTTCTCCAGAGTAACAAGTGGATATAATCTCTTAGTGCATCTATTGCCCTTACTAGAAGAGTAGTAAGGTTTCCCAAATTTTTCATCAGAGCTTTACCAGCTAGCCAGAATGGCCTTTCAATTTGTACCTAAGATGATGTTGGTAGAAGGGATGTTAAACATCATTATCATAAATGTTGCTTTCAGAACATCTCATAGAATCTCCTGTCGTTTCAGAGATTGTCTACAACCACCTTCATGAATTCACGTAATAAATCAGAAACATTAACCTGCCACAAATATAATCATTGTGACTGTCTGCAGAAAGCAGAGCTATCTGTCGCCCATGCATGGCCCAGCTAGATCTTTGCTTTTTCCTAACTACTGCAGGTGAATGTTGAGTGAGTTCTCCAGCAGTTGGAGTTTCAGGGAGGGTGTTTCTTCTGCCAAATAAGAAAGAGCAGGAGCAAGGCCAGAGGGGCAGGACTGATGTCAAGTAGTGGCACCTTTGTCTCCCCAAGAGGCCAGTGTCTGATAGCACTGTCTTTTGATGACTCTGCATTGAGAGAACTAGGACCTATTGCCTCGCAGAAAAAAGGATTCTTCCTCTATCCTACTTACACATATTTCAAAAGGAATCATTTTCATGAAATGAGCCTTCGTACTTATGAAATAACACTTGTGTTAACATATCTTTTGTTAATGCAGACATTCATACTTTCCTTCACCTCAAAGCGAGGCATGCTTGGTTCAGACTACAGAGAGTGCTCTTTTGGTGTCCCAAGCACTGTGCTAAACCCTGTATATGTGTGGAGGTGGATGGAACAGGGGATCCCTGCTGTCTAGGAGCTCACAGCTGTGACATGACGTTTGCAGTACTATTGGAAGAACACTTGCCCTGTATTAGTGGGAGGTGTGAGTGGTAGTACCAAGGAAGGCTTCTTGTAAGATGGGTCATGTTCATGGGGACCTCAGTGATGTGTCCAGTTAGCCAAGCAAAGAGAGGTGGAAGAGCATTCAGGTGGAGGAAGAAAGGCATTCAAAAACCCAGAATAAAGAGAAAGATGACTTGCTCAGAGGAGCTTAATATATGTCCATATAGCAATTTACATGAGAACTGTAGGTGTGGGCATTAGTGCAGAGTGCAGGCATTTTGTCCTGGTCAAGAAGTGTTGACCCATTTCCCATAAAAAATAAGCAAACAGACAAACAAATAAAAAGAAGTGCTGACCTTTATAACTATCCTGTGAAGGGTATTAGTCCTATTTATAGATGAAGTAACTGAGGAAAAGTTTTTTAAAAAGGAGGTCAAGTAATCTGCTCAATTCACATAGCAGTTGCATTTCCAAATGAATATGTATGTGTATGTTTATATTTATACGTATACATCTATACGTATATGTATATTTAAAAGAAAATGATATGAATCTGCAGATTTGGTTTACTCCTGTAGTTAATGATTTTGAGTCGAATAAAAATGTGTATGTCTCCAATGTATGTTGCACATAGAATATTTTAAAAAGATAAATTAGTATTTGTATTAGTCAACTTGATTTTATTATTCTTGCCTCCAGAGCATTTTATGAGCATAAATTTTTGTTATGCATGTTTTCAAATAAAAGCATCTGGATTGCTGAAACCGGTTTGGCTCAGTGGATAGAGCGTCGGCCTGCGGACTGGAAGGTCCCAGGTTCGATTCCGGTCAAGGGCATGTACCTGGGTTGCAGGCACATCCCCAGTAGGAGATGTGCAGGAGGCAGCTGATCGATGTTTCTCTCTCATCGATGTTTCTAACTCTCTATCTCTCCCTTCCTCTCTGTAAAAAATCAATAAAATATATATTTTTTAAAAAAAGCATCTGGATTTATCGGTACATAGAGCTCAATATTACCTTTTTATAATTAGAGATGCAAAGAAGTGAATAAAATGAGAATGACATTCTGCTATTTTCTCTAGGCCAAAATATAGTTATAGTCAGTGAAGGGGTAAAATGGTATTTGACAATAAATATCAATGCAAAAAGGCATAAATTCTGAACTTTATATAACTGTAATAATAAGATATTGTCTTTTAGGTAGCTTCTATTTAGAAAAAAAACTACAAAGAAAAACAAAGAAATTATTGTTACATAAGTCAACATAGTTGTGTGTGTTTGTTTTTTGTGTTTTTTTTTTGGGGGGGGGGTGTTGAATATTACAATCTGGAAGGGGCACATTGGGATTTCCAAAGGCAGGCAATGTTCGCTTTCTTGACCTGTGTGGTGGTTATATGGTTGTTCATTTTATAACTAGTTTATAATTCTATATATTTGCAATTTTGATAAATACATTTATAGTTTTCTTTTTGCATGTTAGATATCAAAATGAACATATAAAAATTATAAAAATATAAAATATAACTTAGCAAAAAAATTACACATTAATCTATTATGCTTACCTAGCTATAGTCCAAACAGGGATCCTTACATTTTCTACTTTATTAAAAAACACAAAAAACTCATTAAGTGATTCTTAAATTTTGGGGTTATATTGGTCTCCAATTATACTATTTAAACACTAGAGGCCCAGTGCACAAATTCGTGCACAGGTGGGGTCCCTCCCACCTGATTGGAGATGTCTCACCCAGTCCCAATTGGGGCCGATCCCGCTGATCGGGAGGAACCACAGGAGGTTGGCTGGAGTGCACTGACCACCAGGGGGCAGCTCCTGTGTTAAGTATCTGCTCCATCATGGTCAGTGCATGTTATAGCCACTGGCTGGTTGACCGGTTGTAACAGTTGTTTAGGCTTTTATATATATATATATATATTATATATATATATAATGTACTACATGCTCAGTGGATCAAACTCATAAATATATAGATGCTAGTAACAAAATGAGGAGTAAAAGTGTCATTAGGGATATTAATGTTTTATCTACAGACATTAGAAAGGAATTTTAGAAAATATTTTTGATGTGGACACAGATTTCTTAAAATGTATTCTCCAAAAATATTAGTTGAATAATTAAGTTGGACAAGACTATTCTGAGTATATATGAAAACAGTAGTGTCAGAAAATAACTATATGAAAGCCACTATATTTTTTACCTTTCCAGTTTATGTATTTCATCTTATTAGGATTTATGCTTTCAGTGACTTGATCTAGGTTTGTGGGAAATGCTAAACTTCAAAGAAACAAATGATGATAGCTAAGGCATAATAATTATGAAGAGATTCTTAAAATACATTTAATGAAATTAATTTTTGCTTACAAATTTATTAATTTAGTAACTATAGATGAAAACATGTAAATTTACATTTTGAAAACATATTGAGAATGATTTTATTAATTTTTATTACTCCCCATCCAGATCTATTTGATGAGATTGAAATACAACTATAAATACAATTCAAGATAAGCTAAGAAAAATATAAATCGATAATAGTCTGATACTTTAAAATGAAGTACAAAGAAATGGAAGTTTATTAATATGTGCATAGAGGTAACATACCCCTAAACCAAAACTTATTAAAGATATCAAAAATTAAAAAGAATATTTGCAACACAGAGAGAAGTATCCCAAAATTTCTAGAAAATGTAATAGCATATAGGAAAACAAAACACATGAAAATTCTGATAAAAGAAAATTCTATTTAACAGCTAGAAATCTGTCTATGAAAACAGAAATTGCTTAGGAGGAAACCACATCTAAGCATATAAATATCTTTCGGACAGTACTTATTGTTCATGCAAAAGTCTTTTCTTTTATACCTTAATGTGACAAACACTGAGATAAATTATAGTAATTTCATATGGTTCTTTTTTGTTGTTTAAAACATAGTTGTCTGCTGCATAAATGAATCAGGCAGGATGATTTGGGAGTTAATGTATGTAAAATAAGTACCTCTTTTGTGATTGTTTTAATGATTTTGAGGAACAGCCTGCAAATATCTGATCTGTTAGGCAATCACTGAAAGCCACTTGGCTTACCAGAGAAACCTTTCTCAATGTATTCAGCTGTTGATCTCCTATGTATCTTTCAAAATCTAACCCAAATATTACATCCTTTGTTCTAAAGTGAATAACTTCCTTTTGGAATCATATTTCGCTAATTGTGAAATTTATCTCTACATTTCAGTTTCTTTATCTATAAATAGATATTAATTAATAACACCTACTTTATGTGAGTTCTGATAATAAAATACAAAAATGAATACAAAACACTTCCATTCAACACACTCTAAAATATGTTTCCTTCATTCCCCAAGGAAGCCTTCCCTGTCCCCAGCTAACTTGGTTTGGTCATCTTATTTGCTATTCCTAACATCTGAACATACTGCTATTGGAAAATATTGAAAGTACCCAAATCTATTTCACCCCCTACTCTGTAAATTCTTTAGGAGCTTTAGGTATTCTCCTTGTACAGAGTGTTGGGTATGATGTACAAACGGTATCTGTTGGAGGGATGAATCACTTAAATTGCCTGATAGAAGAATCACAGCTACGCTGCGAGGTCAGTTGTGGCTGAAAAAGTAAATTACGTACTACTTCAAAATTGTGAACTTTAATGATGGAAATTTCCTGCATTCTAGTATAATTATGACTATTCTAGGGTGAATTTTTTTGGGGGCGGTATAAATCTCAAAGAGAGTGCTCAATAGAGTACTTACTTGCTCTTGATGTTGACTGAGCGGTCTAGAGTGGACCAATCTTTCTGGCAGTTTTCGATCCAGACCATGTCCATTTTCCAAACGAGACTCCCTGGGTTTGTCAAACCAATCTGTTTCTTCACGACGCAGATGGTAGGCTTTGGGGACCAAGGAAATATCAAACATTGTAACCCCAACTAATACAAATGATAGAGGGCAACGGGCGTTCTGAAGTACAACATGCACCAGGCTTGTTAACCATTCATGCATTTCAAATACGACTCCAAATGGAGCAAAACCATTCCCAATACTATGTTTAAAAAATATGTGTCATGGAATAACCTAGAAAAAAAATCATCTACACACCTGTGCAACCTCTCAGAGCCAAAGAAAACAAAACAAAGGTAGATTTTAAATAAGGAAAAAAAATTTAGACAGTAATTGAAATAAATAAAGGAAGAAGTGAACATTCCTTAGAAGTCATTTTATTCAACCATTAGTTCCCACCTCTTCACCTCCTCCCATGGCCCATCTCTAGTCTAAGGAAAATGTATTCCTCAAATACAGAAGATTTTGTCACTTTCCCACTATCACATCAAACAAGTTCATATATAGATGTGGCTGCTGGCTTTGAATATCAAGTGAGTATTTTTTGAAAACATTGTTTTTATGACATTCATATATAAAAGAAAACATTACTTCTACAAGAATTTCAGATATTATTGCTAGGAACATATGTGCCATAATCATCTGGTAGCCTAATATTAAAAAAATATGTCATTTAAAATTTTTCTTATTAAAAATAAAACAATTATTTTCTGTGAGATCTAGGAATTAGATTGAAGAGTTAATTTGACTTTCTTTTGTACTTATAATGTAACAAAACTTGACATCTTAAAATACTTTTCTGAAAATACAACCATTTTTAAGTACATAATTATTACTTCAGTTCTTAGTACTGCTAAGGTTTTTTGAAGCTATTATTTAGTGACCAAAAATTCTATTTTACCTAATATACAGAATTTAACTTTATACTTGTAAAGTTTTATTCTTGGTAAAAAGATCTGTAATTAACAGTCTTTGGAAATATTTGTTGCTTCCTAAATGGGAGATGGAGCAGCTTTCTCAAGTGCTCATCCTAAAAGATTGGTTGGCGATGACATCAGTCTATTCTTTCTGGAAAGCTAAGTTTCTACAATGCCACACTGTTGAATTCTATCACACTATAGCTTTCGTTTAACATCTACATACCTGATTGCCTTCTCTTTCAAAACCTTCTCCCATGATTTTTTTTAAAGGCAATTTTTATTATTTCTTTGCTAGCAGGGCTGGCAAACCCACAGCATGTACACCATTACTTACTTCTACCTCCTGTGATCCTGGTCAAAGGTAGTAATTAACCACAAGATTTCTTCCAAAAACAAAACAAAACAGGAGAAGATGAGAAATGTGTCATAGTTCAGTCAGTCTTAGATTTGATGAAATACACTGATATGTACCTGATCTGTGGTTATATATGTGCTTCTCTGATCTCCCCTCTTAGATTCTAAGCTGCTTGAGGGCAAGGCTCATATCTTGATTTTTTATTTCCTTCCCTCAACACTAAAAACAATGCCTTGCAAATGTCATAACATTCAATAAATATTTAGAAATGAATAAAACAGAAAAATTAGCCATCAACTAGAGAAAGAAGTTAAATATCATAATAATAATATGCATGTTTTAAAATAAATATTAAATTATCCCTTGGACTTTATTAATAGTTACACAATAATTTCTCATAATCTACCGGATATTTATGGTTTTTCATAGTTTTAATTAGATATGAATTAACTACACTTATGAAAAAATATTTAGCATAATAAAATTTGATAAGCAAATAGAAAACAAATCCATTATTTAATCATCAGATTAAAATTTTATGATTGTCCCAACATCAACACTATTTACCTTACTTTTTTATATATTTATTTTATATTTATTATGAAAAGAAAAAATAATCTATACTGTTCTTAATAAATGAATATATTGGATAATGCAATACATGATTTCACTTGAATATATAATTCTGCTAACTGCATTTGAAATACAATCCTTTAAAACATGTTTTCTTGGCTGTGTCTATACAAATAAGGCAGAATCCCAGCTTACTCCAAATTTTGTCAATTTATTTACAATTCTAATAATATACTTTGATGGATATTTCTTATACTAATTCTATGTGTAAATTAGGATGTCTATCATGCTTTTCATAGGAATTTATAGAACCACCAAGAAAAAAACCCGATTGAATAAATCTATTTTCATATTATATTCTGTCTTTATACTTTATAGTAAGTTAGATATAAATGCTAATTCTTTATAACTACAATTATATTATTAGCCATGGTAGTTCTGCACTTAAAAAAATAAATTTTATAATAGCATTTTCCAAATTAATTTAAATAATTTGCTAGAGATAAACATTCCCCTTTTTTAGACTGATTGATATTTTCTTGTATTCTTAAATGTAAAATACAAGTAAGCTATTTTGGGATCTACATTATTCACAGCCAATTATTACATGAATAGTTTAATTCTATTTAGATTCATTCAAACTGGTCATTACAATAGCCAGTACAGAAGAAAGTGATTAGTTGTTGGAATTTCACTAGAAAAAGCAGCTTGTCCTCCAGATCCAGTGATTACTTTAGTCCTTTTCAAATCTAGATTTGAATTTCTAAAATCATATTGCTGGCTAGATACAGAAGTAGGAAGAAAATCCTTTTCATGAAAATATATTTTCCTGTGAGTTCTCAAAGAAAATGTAGGACTCAAAAGGGGAGATATTCATGTTAGCTCAGTGCTTTGCAGTTTCCAAAGGCATGAAGTAATACACTTTTATTTGATCAAAAATATTTTATTTCCATGACTCAAAACCATGCCTACATTCAAATAAACCGCAGAGGGCTCGTGATCCAGAATCATGAGTCCTCTTGGTATGAGCAAGCCTCTTAACATCACTGTACCTCTCCTCCCTCATCTTCAAAATTAGATTTGGACTAGGTAACTTTCTAAAGTATTTATGGTTCTATATGATTAAACAACAACAAAAACACCATAGGCTAGTTTTTAGTTAGGTATGTATTTGCCCTAAATCACTTATTCAATATGAAAAACCAGTTAAACGATTTAGGGCAAAAAAAGAGATGATGCAAAAAGCAAAGTCAAGGAAAAGACTAAACAGGTAGACCTGGAGGGCTTCAGCTTCAACTAGGTAAATTCATAAAAGCATTGTACAAAATTTGAATTGTAAATATAAAAAATACTTTATATATACTTGATAAGATTATTTATTTTCAATGTCATATTTTGTGTTGTTTTCTAGTATATAATGCAAAGGTACAGACTTGGCAATTACGGTATTCATAATGAGAGATAAAATACAAACCTTTCATTTAAGAAGAATTATAAAATTCTGCATTATACTAATATGAGATGAGAACATTATCTGAATTCATAAATACTAGTCTCACAAAAACACCATAAGTAATTTTCTATTACAAAGTCTAGCAGAATAGTAGTTAATGGCTTGAAACCTTAATAATTTCATAAACTGAAAGAAATTGACAATTTTAAAAAGAAAAGAACAGACAAAAAGTTTCCAATGATTTTAGCCAATTATGAATTTAAAGAATGACCATTTTATTGACACAATTATTGATAATGATTTTGGAAAAGAGGACATCGAACAAATCAAGCAATTAAGAAACACCAATAAAAGAATAATCTAAAAAGAAATAAAGAAAAGCATGCTATAAAATCTATACACAAGATACAATTTCCATTTACAAAAAATAAAATTGAAGTAAACATGCAAAAGACAAACCAAGGAAAGTACAATACATCTTTAGAGAAGGAAGATTAAACATGCAGGAAAATGAGAGTTTGAGTTTTGAGAGTAACAAGGAATTCTGAGGCCCAATTTACCTTCACTGTCAGACATGGCATGTTGGAAGTCATCCATGATGAACGCTATGTCACGGTCATAGCCTCGAGTCCGTGATTCTTCTCTCATGTGTTGTTGAACTTCAGGCAATGAGTGACTTGATCCAAACTGATCTCTGGTGTCTGCAGATATTGGTGGCAGGGGTCCAGCTGCAGCCCTGGCCATCCCCATTGGCTGGCCAACAGGACTGAGTGGACTTTCTTCTTCAGAATTCTGGGCCACAATTGGTATTCTTCCTCTACTCTGGCTAATTGGCAAACTGGTAGGCTTAGTTCTGCCAGAGGGAGATGCGTGACTGAAGGAAACATCTAGAGCTTCAGCCTCTTGAGCTTTCAGTCTTAGAGAAGAACTGGAAGAATCTCTTTTTATTGATAAATCAAGCCCATAGACAGACGAAGGCCTGGAAGAAGGTCTGGACCTGCTGCCACTACTGTATGGCTTATCCGCTTCATCCTGCAGAGCTGACCGTATGGTATTTCCTAATGTGCCTAGTCCTGTGCCAAGAGATGATCCCACAAATTTTTGTTGGTCTGTAATATTTTTTCTGAGGCCATAAGTGATTTCATCTTGAAGCAGCCTTGCTCTGGAAGAAATTCCACCAATAGAAGAAGTGCCAGAAGTCATATAGCTTGAATAATCAGGTTCAAGGTCTCTACTTTCTTGAATAGGTGAAAATTTTGACATTTTAGGGTCGATTAGTGATTTCTTATGCTTTGACTGCTTTTGATAGAGTATGGCTGCTGGTAGTTGCTTTGCCGCTTGTTTTTCAAGTGTGAGTCTACTAATGCTGTACTTTTCAGATTTTGGAAAATGTCTATAGGTAGTATCACCATGGTAATAATGGGAAAGACCAGCAAGGTGATCTAAGTTCTCTGCCCCTCTACGGAATTCTTGTTTAATCTGCTGTTTCAGAAGCTTTAACTCATAAGGATCTTCCATTGGATCTTCCTCTGCTTTCACGTAACTATGCAACCTTGAGGAAGTCTGCAAAGGTGCTAGGAAATCTGTCACTTCTTGAGACCTCCGTGTTTCAGTGGTTCTAAGGAGGCGGTCTGTTTTTGACAGATCCTTTTCATGAAGATTAAATGCAGTGGTCAATGCTGCTGTTCCTTTGGAAATCTCTCCAATGTCATCAATTAGGACAAAATTTCGTGAAGTATGGTGGTCAATATCTGCATAAAAAGAATCTGCAGAAATGCTTGATATTGGACTGCTTGCCATGCTACTTCTCTCCTCCAAACCCATTCTCAGGTCTAAGGTATTGTACTTACTACCAAGATGGGAAACAGCATATGTATTATCAGTAGAAACAGGTGCTATCATCAGGGGTTGGTTTCGAATCACCTCATAGTTTGAAGTAATCTTGGGCTCCAGATATAATGTAGTTTGCCGTGGCTTTTGTTGTATCACCATCATCTGTGATGGTAACTGATAAGAAGGTTGTGGGGTTGGTGTAGGTTGAGCTTGAGGTGTGAAGGACATCGTTGCCACAGCTTGGAATGTTGGCTGAGTCTGATAAGGTGAAACTTGCTGGTGGTACAAAGTCTGTTGCTGAAAATGGGACTGCTGGGTGTATGGGGTGGGTGCTTGGGTAGGAAGAGCAGGAGACGAGTATTGGTATTGTGTATAAGGACTCGTAGGAGGAACTAGCTGAGATTCCGTTTGGGTTTGTGGGGGTATAAACTGGCTGAATTCAGTTTGGGGAGCAGTTCTTGGTCGCTCTATGCCATGCTGACTTTCTATTCGGGATGGTCTGGTGCTGCTCACCTCACTGTCAGACATGTAATCCCGTTCCTCAGCTACCCCCTGGAGGTAGGCTCGCTCTCTCTTTTCTCTCTCCTTTAACAATGCCTCTTTCCTCCTGTTAATTCCCATTTCCAGGTACCGCAACTTGGCATCAATCTCCTTCTCTTCCTCATCAAGTTCTGCTTGTTTCTTTCTAAGTTTTGCAGACTCTCTCTCTACAAGATCAAGTTCTCGGTCTATATCCTGGAGAATCTTGGCTCGTGCCATTGTGTTGGTTCTGCAGATCCTTCTCCTGGAAACTGTACCCATTGTGCTGTACGTCGACTGAGTCCCTGTTGAGGTCTCCTCAGGAGGTGGGTTAGGCAGAGTTCTCTTAACTTTTTTCTGGGTGCCAGAGGGTGTTATGGTTTGAGAACTTTTTGTCTATAATTAAAGAAACAAAATATAGTACTTTATTATCAAGGAAAAATTAAAGATAAAAAACCTTCACACTTTACATTTAAATAAATATGATTTCATATGTTTTAGGTATGACAGTATAATATGATAAGATTTTTTTATATAATTTTAAGTATTAGCCACAAGTGCAATTAACTGAAAAATTATTTTTCTTTCTTGGTAGATTGGCTTCTTATTATTGTAACTTCTGCAACTTTAGAAGTTAGTTTTGAAATCAAGCACAGAACTCATTGCTAGGCAGATTTATATTTTAGTTAGAACCTTAGGAGAACTCTAAAAACTGATTTTCCATCCTATTTAATATAAGATTATTTACTGAATGTATTTCTAAAATATTTGTATTAATTATCTAAAGGTTAAGTTATATTTGTTAGAGATAATGCCTATTTGCCACTAAGTTCAGTTGTTTGCCTCAATCTTTCCATTCCTATTTTTACTCCCTAGAATAGCCATTATTTCTATTCTAATCATGAAATGTTTTGAAATTAAACCCTCAAGTTCTTTAATCTTTTTTCTCCAAGAAAGTGTAATATCAACTAATTTCCCATTTAATCTTTCAATATTTTTGTGACTATTTGGGTCTTTTATTTTCTTTCTATTTTATTATTCTTTTCTTTTTTTAAATTTATCTTTATTGTTGAAAGTATTACAAATGACCCCTTTATTTCCCTCACTTAACCCCTCCACACCTACACCCTGCAGGCCTTCACAGCACTATTATCTGTGTCCATGGTTATGCATATATGCATATAAATTCCTTAATCTCTTCCAGTACCTCCTCCCCTCTTTCCTCCAAAGGAGGATTATAAACACCCATCAATTAATGCAACAGTAAATGATGAACCTAAATGCAGAGAGAAAGCATATAAAACAAAGATAGTAACTATGGAATGGAGCAAATAAATAGGATAAAAAAGAATTTCTAGGGTAGATATATACATTTTAAAAATTAATTTTTAAAAAATTGAAGGTATCCATTAAATGGCTGCACATATTTGTTAAGTGAAAGATTGAGAAAATAAAAGAGTGAAATAAGAACTTGCTGTGATTAATTTTAAAGGTCCTGAGTCATGAAGTGAATTTCTCAGAATTCACTGAATAGAATGAGAGTATACATGAAACCACAGGAAAAAATAGAACCACGGGGAACCACAAAAGAAGACCATTTATTGAATTAAGAGTAATGGTTAATAAAGTGAACTAGAAAATGATAGTAGTTCTTACTACTTATTGCTCATACATGTATGAATTATTTCCTAATTTAACTTTACGAGACAGTAGGCTTAGTCAAATTCTTTTTCTTTTGTTAGTGAAATCCTAGATTAAAGAAGCATTCCAGGTACTGGGGATTTCTAATTATCCTCCAGAGTTGCAAATACTTAATCATTGATGACTTGTGTTAATTAATATTTTGTGTATCATGGATGTGAGTTAGGAAGCAAGAGATAAAACTGGTTGGTAGAAGTTACATACTCACTGAATTGGCCTAGTTAGCCTCCACAAATCAAACTAGCTTTGCTGTTCTCCACTTGCCAACATTAATAGCTTTTACTCTGACTATAGAAATAGTCACAAATGTGAAGATGGCTCCAAATCTCCACCATATTTCTTATAAGGGAGAGGGAATATAACATAGTGACTAAGAGCTTGTTTTAATCCTGGCTCTGCCTTTCATAAGCCGTGAAACCTTTAGCAAGTTGCTTAAACTCCCTGGGTCTCCGTTTTCTTACATGTAAAAGAAGTTTAATATTTATCCTTATATTATTGTTTTAAGGAGTAAATGAGTTAAAAAAAAAAAAAAGTAAAGAGTCTAAATTACTTACTGTCCAAGATGGCAGACAATATAATAAAAAATCTAAAATGATGTCATAGCAACTTATAATTTAAGGACTGATTTTAAAGACCACAAAAAAAAATTTCTTTCTGCACAGCAAAAGAAACATCAACAAAACAACAAGAAAGCCCCCTGCATGGGAGAACATATTTGCCAATGCTTTCTCTGAAAAGGGTTTAACCTTCAAAATTTACAGGGAACTCATACAGCTTAACAAAAGGAAGATAAACAATCCAATCAAAAAATAGGCAAAGGACGTAAATAGACACTTCTGGAAAGAGGACATACAGAAGGCCAAGAGACATATGAAAACATGCTCAAAGTCACTAATCATCCGAGAGAGGAAAATCAAAAATGACAATTCGGTACCATCTCACACCTGTCAGAATGACTATCATCAATAAATCAACAAATGACAAATGTTGGCGAGGATGCGGAGAAAAAGGAACCCCCGTGCACTGCTGGTGGGAATGCAAACTGGTGCAGTCACTGTGAAAGACAGTATGGAGTTTCCTCAAAAAATTAAAAATGGAACTCCCATTTGACCCAATAATCACACTTATAGGATTATATCCCAAGAAATCAGAAACACCAATCAGAAAGGATATATGCACCCCTATGTTCATAGCAGCACAATTTACAATAGCTAAGATTTGGAAACAACCTAAGTGCCCATCATCAGATGAGTGGATTAAAAATGGTGGTACATCTACACAATGGAATACTTTGCTGCTATAAAAAGAAGGAACTTTTACCATTTGCGACAGCCTGGATGGACCTGGATAGCATTACGCTAAATGAACTAAGCCAGTCAGAGAAAGATAAATGTCACATGATCTCACTCATTTGTGGAATATAATGGACAACATAAACTGATGAACAAAAATAGATCCAGAGACAAAGAAACACCGAACAGACCATCCAACCTCAGAGGGAAGGCAGAAGAGGTGGGGGGAGGAGAGGGCAAGGGAGAGATCAGCCAAAGGACATGTATGTATGCATATTAGCATAACCAATGGACAGGGACACTGGGGCATTGGGGACTTGTCCTGGGGGGTGGGAGTAGCCAGGGAGTAGTCAATCGATTTATAAAAGAAAGTTTGTCATGATTAAAGGTGATATAGTTGAACACCATGATTAGAGATGACAACAAAAATCTAGAAAAATCTTAGTGTTTAATAAGATTTTCCTTGATGACCAGCTTGGTAAAACATGTTTTTAGATAGCTCTGGAGCCCTTAATCTGAAAACAAACAAAAAAAATATCACATTAAATATAAATAACTGCATATACAAATTTAAATTATTTTCAAATAGTTGTGCAAATAGCAGACCCATGGAAAGTCTTAACCATAGAATGGATGGAGTCTGTAGGGAGCCTGGAAGAATATTCATTTCAATTTTAGTATTTAGGAAGTAATTATGAGAACAAGCAAATACACTCCAAGGTAAGTTTTGCTGTACAAAGTTATTTTATGTGATATTTATCTTTCTCTGACCAGCTTATTTCACTTAGCATAATGCTCTCCAGTTCCATCCAGGCTGTTGCAAATGGCAAAAATTCCTTCTTTTTTACTGCAGTGTAGTATTCCATTATGTAGATATACCACTGTTTTTTAATCCACTCATCTTCTGATGGGCACTTAGGCTGTTTCCAAATCTTAGCTATGGTAAATTGTGCTGCTATGAACATAGGGGTGCATATATCCTTTCTGATTAGTGTTATAGTTTCTTGGGATATATTCCTAGAAGTGGGATCACTGGGTCAAATAGGAGTTCCATTTTTAGTTTTTTGAGAAAACTCCATACTATTCTCCACAGTGGCTGCACCAGTCTGCATTCCCACCAGCAGTGCACAAGGGTTCCTTTTTCTCTGCATCCTCGCCAGCACTTGCCATTTGTTGATTTGTTGATGACAGAGATTCTTACAGGTGTGAGATGGTACTGCATTGTCATTTTGATTTGCATTTCTCGGATGATCAATGACTACATCAAAATAAAAAGCTTCTGCTCTGCAAAAGAAACCATCAACAAAACAACAAGAAAGCCCACTGCATGGGAGATCATATTTGCCAATGTTATCACCGATATGGGTTTTAATCTCCAACATTTACAGGGAACTTATACAACTTAACAAAAGGAAGATAAACAACCCAATAAAAAAAATGGGCAATAGACCTAAATACTTTTCTAAAGCGGGTATAGGAAGGCCAAGAGACATATGAAAACATGCTCAAAGTCAAAATTATTTTAAACAACATTTTTCTCAGGGGAATCAATTTAAACCATGCATCTTATATGCAAAGGAAAATAATTTGTCCTTGTTCTGAGGTGTCAGGGCTATTAATAAAAGTAGCTAAGGTAATACTATCCTAAGAACTCATTGGCAAAATAATCTAAACTCAATCTAAGGATGATTAAAGGATACCCATTCCCTCTCTCTCCCAAAAGTGGATAAGATAAAAATAGATGCTGGATCAAAATTATTTATCAATTGCTATATATAATAAATATGGCAAAATTCAACTTGCTAATTTATTCCAGTTGTTGTTAAGTGTAATTCTAAAATCCCTTGTTTTAGATACTAATGGCATAGAGTAAAAAGGCATGTGATTAAATGGACTTAAAACCTGTTTTCAAAGAACTCACAAAGTTAGAATTTTTTTTTTATAATGTTGTATGAAGAAAATACTTCAGTCTTTTGCTAAATATAGCTCTTGTTAATATCAGAGACATAAAGACTTAGGAATGTATTTTTCATTTTATAAATATAGAAAACTATAGCTGCTGTTGAAAATCAATATTCATAATGATTAAATATCTTGGATTTTTAAGATTGTTCTTTCAGTTAAGCAGAAAATATTTTTATGAAAGCCTTTTACTTTTAGATAATGGAGCTGTGGATTCACTTACAAATAGTACAAATCCACACAGATTTATTAATAAAGAAGATATTTTGATGGAGATAAATATTGTATAATCTATTAAAAGATCATCAATATAACAAGCCAGAAGGTGAATTTGAGATTTTATAAACAGAGTGTATTGGGATCTAGAATAAGAAGGGTTTACTTTTAGTTTAGGGAAGGAAAGATGGATTAAGACATAACAACTAGCCTGGTTCTTGAAGA